ATATATATATATATATATATATATATATATATATATATATATATATATATAATCGACTCTCCCGTTGAGATTCGCCGTATGAGGGTCAAGCAGTTCAATTCCCAGGAAACCGACAGCCCGATCCCGGCACATGAGATTTGATTATAGTGGTGAAATCTTCATGCAGGACCATCCCCACTTTTTGAAGGGACCAATACAGAGACCTGGTGCACCGAGTGTCACAAGGTTCCCAAACGACCCTCCGCAGGTTTTGAATTCACAGTTATATATATATATATACAAAACAAGAGTAAATCTTTTATTAGTCAATGTCTTTCGTCCGTTGAGGAACTTTATTAAGGGAATTATGCCTTCATTTGCCTTGATAAAATCCCTCAGAGGACGAAACGCTTCGGCTAAGAATAGTTTTCCTCTTGTCGTTTTGTATAATTTCTCCCCAAGCTGTGCAGAACATAAACATGAGAGAAAAATTGGTATAGGTCGGGCTTGAGAAAAGGATAAATGTTGCCCGGGATTCAAGACAGCAGAAGATTGCGTTTGACTGTAAATTTTTGAAAATGGTAGATTTCAGGGAACCAATAAACAGAATGGATTTCCACTGTCGGGAAGTAATAGCAATTAAATTGTTGGAGTAGAAGTGTCGGTTACATTTAACTATTTCAAAAAACAGAGGGACCTAAATGCCAATCTAGTAGCACGATTAAATGGACGTAGTCAGGGCACAAGGGGAAAAAGACAGAGATAAACCACATCGCAACGGTTAGAAAGGGACTGAAGTGGAGATACAAAGTCAGGATTGATTACATTGCAGATCCTTCTTTGGATTTTGTTAAGAACCTCGAGATGAATAGCAGGGGAAGTAGAACAGATGTAGCAACAGTGTTCAATGCACAGCAGAATGCTAGATTTGTAAATGTGGAAGATAGAGTGACGAGCATGTGTATATTATCGTAAGTACTAACAGTCGGGGACGGATATACATGTAAGAATGATCGGGAGATCCAAGAGAGAGTTCCTTGTCCAGCAGAAGATGTTCGCAGACATAAGCTCCTAAGCTATGCATGTGGATATTAGAATCCCCTCTAAAGAGAAGAGAAAAGGCGCGAATGGAGAATTCAGAAGAGAGAATTGAAGAGTTCAGGTTAGTTTCGCTGAAAGCTTGAATGTCCGGAGACTTTCCTAAGGGAAACGATTCCAGACTGCAGTTATTGGTGCGTATAGCATGAATATTGGCGAAAGAAAGGTTAAGGGGTTTAGCTCTGTTTTGTTGGCCTTCTTTACGTTTATAACTTAGGTTTACATAGTCATCATGTTTTATTTTCGTAAGAAAAAACGTATTGTTGTAGTAGGCGTCAGTCGTCTCATGTAACATGTGCAGGAAGGGAACTGGCGCAGACTGCAGCATAGTGTGGCCTCGTGGTTTTCTAGCGGAGGTGTATGAAGGAAACGTTTTCTGTGCGACATGGCACTGTAAGTATCCCGATACTATCAAGACGCTACACAAGAGTTCAGTCTTCTAACTATCAGTCGTGAATAGCAACTTAAAATTGTTAACCCAGTATCCTCAACCACCATTCAAACGTATCACAAAAAAACAGTACCATTATTAAGGCTAGAGAAATGAAAAGGAACCGGGAACCCCTTTCTAAACAAGAAACAAAAGATGAGCCTCTACCTCTGATCAAGAGAAGCGGGAGAAATATGAACCGGACAATAGGGAAGACTATTCCTAATAATATAAAAATAGTAAACATTGCCGGGTTTTACTTCCAGATACATTATTTCAAAGAATGTGCTTTAGATAACTTATTTTGAGAATCGAACTGCGACCCACATATGCCCCAGCAAAAACATGTATACAAAAAAAAAAAAATCACAGATTAATAATGTTTTAAAACTAAAATAATTACCTTAATTCCCGTATATAATACCCATTCATCCATGATAAAAAAATTTTCACAAAAGAAAATATTTACGATTTATTTAAATTCGCCAGATGCATTGATCGAAGAAAACATGAAATTATTTACAGTTTAACATTAGTTTGTGTAGTCTAAATTAGGTACTGTAATTCCCCTATGCATAATACGCACCCCTAAAATTGTGCTGAAAGTATGGAAAAATTCTTCTACTCACACATAATACGCACCCGTATTTTGTAATCAAACCCTATAACATATACCTCTCCAATATCATTATGGCCATACACTTATTATTAAAAAAAAGACAACAAAAAAACAAAACAAAAAAAACAAAAAAAACAATGGATTTGAACTAAGAATAATATTATTCTAATTTAGTCTTATGATAATTCTTTCATTTTTTGCTTATTATTTTTTGGGAAAAATGCGTATTATACATGGGGAATTACGGTAAGTTTAACTTTGCATAAGTCAGAATATCAACTCTTTTAAACTGCGTACTCATAATCCCCAGACAGTAACCACTAAAAAGAAAAAAACCTCAATAACTGCTGCGACCCGAATCAATCAAAATAACCTTAACAAACACGATTCAGTACAAATGTGTATATATATATATATATATATATATATATATATATATATATATATATATATATATATATATATAATGAGAACTGAACAGAGAATGAGAGGAATCATAAAGTGGAGAAGGATGTTCCTAACGTATAGAGAAAAAGAATCAACTTTCCGCAATCGGATGAGAGAAATGTCAACATGCATTATTTAGACCAACAGACGATAGGAAGTTATGAAGAGCTATGATAACCGACGTCCTGACGGAATGAAAACCTTGCATTTTTGTTATGAGTTTGTAGATATAAATGTTAGACTTGGGGGTGGATAACGAATGGACACCCTTTTCTGAGCACTACCAATGCTAGGAAATAGGAAAGCCATATCTTTCATGTATTGAGAGAAAACCAAGTGTGTAATTGGATCAGAGAAATTGTTTAAAGCAACAAATAATAGGAAGATGTGAAGAGCCATGTTTACAGATGCCTTAAGTCCTGACGAGACGAAAACGTTGTGTTAGTGTAAATGAATGACGGAGACCCGTTGATTAGAACTACTACTGCTCGATAGATGTGGTGAGCTACAGTGATCCATATCCAAAAGTGACATTGCCTACCAGGTTTGTGTATTTCGAGGGCAGAACATCGAGTTGGATTACAGCTTAAGGGAAACATATTGTTTAGTGCTGCCAAATCCAGGAAGTTGTGGAGGGTATTGGTCACTAGAAGAGTAAATGGAAATATCGAAATCGTGTAAACACAATCCAGAATAAGAAATGGTGAGAGTAGTAATAGAATAAACATTGTCTACAGCTTTAAGAAACTGTCTACATTTCTGAAATGAGGTATTATGAACACTATTTACATTATTCTTATTATTGTCTTCATCTTTGTCGCTATATAACACTGATCAAATACCGTAAAAGTCATAAGTGGCGGCCCAGAGACATTAGATAAAGAATTGGTCAGTATAAGTAGTACCCTACAACGTAACAACTACACTGGGTATATGGCAGCAGCCCCATAAAACTGGGATAGGCGGGTACAAGAAGAGGACAACAACACTCAGAAAACAAACTCCCTGTTTTATGTGAAGGAGTTACCAGAGAAAATACAATTACGGTTCATATAACATCAGGACAACCTTCAAAATCTGGACGACACTTCGCAGATATCTCTCTCGAGTAAGACCCCCCCCACCATAGTGGAGAACATGAATAAAGACTGTGTGTACGCTATCGCGTGCAGCTGCGGAAAGAAATATAAAGGGGAGACAGACTGCCCCCTTAAAGTAAGGCTTCAAGAACACCAGAAAGCTGAAACACGAGGGGACGAGAAAAATCAGGCGTGGCTAAACACATATGGAGAGAAAAGGGAGATTACCGTCCTCTGTGGGATCAGGTTGAGAACACCATGGGAAAATTCGTAAACTTAAGAAATCAGCACATATGCTAGGCCACATAAACCTCTTGAGTCGACCAAGCACAGAAATGAATAAAATATGGGAACAGTAATAAGGAGTGCCAGAGAAAAGCGATAATATCAACAAAAAATGCAATATGAGCTCTGGTAAAAACATGAGGGTAACAGCAAAAATTTCAAAAATAAAATGGTTGGTAAAGACTTTTGGTTTATAATACCCAGAAATTCACACACAGATGTCCTGAAGAACAATGGCACAGTGGATAAAGGCGTTAGTTAGATCCAGTGTGAGTTCAATACCTGGTTAAGGCAATGGAGAACTTGGAGAGGGAATTAAGCAGGACATAACTGATAGCTGACATCCATTAGATATGGCACGTGGAACTAGAACAGTGTGCCCCAGTGAGCGAAATACAGGGTTCAGTTCGGTATTCCAACCACCTGAAGAAGGCCGGAGCGTACAACATCAGAAACGGTGTAATGAATATGGCAACAAACACGAGGACAACAGTCCGTATAATGTAAATAGTGAGCTTTAAGAAAACTGAGAAACACGATCATATTGAAAGTATCCCGAATATAAACAAATATACGCAATTCTGTTACTTTCATTCTGAAATCTGTCTGAGTACGCATTCCCCAAAGGGTCATTTTTTTTTAAATCGTTTAAAATATCATGTTCGTTTACCAAAGAATTATATTAGTTTTACGCGTTGAGTGTTAATCGAACAGCGTAGGCGATTCTTGGCTTGTACTTTCGAGCGTCAACTGCTTACGACTCGAGCTGAAAGAAAATCAGACAAACAGACATGGGCTTCTCTGTGTGCAGATTAGCGAAATATCTGGTGTCTTAACCAGAAGACATAGACAAACCATTGCGTTTGGCTTCTGGGCGAGAGGAGGTCATTCCAAAACGAGGCTTTCAGCGGAACAGCTCTCACAAACAGCCGTTTTCTTCAAGATGATAATGAAAGCAAGTAGCAACACCGACAGCGACACAAGTCGCAAGAGTAGTAATTAATATAATGCTGTCGGCATTAATTCTTATTATTTGCAGCTGTTGCGCTTTGAGTAATTCTACTATGCGCTCGAAAGAGACTAAAAGGAAAAGTTCGAATATCGAACAGGGGTAAACATATAAGATTTCGAGAGTTCGGTTTCTCGTTAGATGTGCTGATTGGCCTATTTTTATCCTCGTATCCAGATTTGGCCTTTTGACGTACGCAGCTGTACTTAATAAATGCTCTGGGCAGAGATAAAAGGCTGACAGTAAAAAAGACGAAGAAAAATATGATTTCTACCTATATTCCTGAGATAGGGAACACTTCGGTAAGACGTAATGGTCAATAAGCTTGTCTCGCTAAAACAATTACGAATGAGTAGTGAGTTTGATCCTCACTGGGTGCCACCTACATTCGACCTTGTGCCACAACTAAGCTACGGTTAAAAATCATTTGAGTTTGATCCTCACTAGGTGCCACACACTTTCGATTATATGCCACATCTAAGCTACAGATAAAAAAAAAAACATTTGATCATCACTGTGTGCCACATACTTTCGACCTTGTGCTACATCTATGCTACGGTTAAAAATAATTTGAGTTTGATCCTCACTGGGTGCCACATACTTTCGACCTTGTGCCACATCTATGCTATGGTTAAAAATAATTTGAGTTTGATCCTCACTGGGTGCCACATACTCTCGATCTTGTGACACATCTAAGTTACGATTAAAAATCATTTGAGTTTGATCCTCACCGGGTGCCACCTACTTTCGACCTTGTGCCACAACTAAGCTACGGTTAAAAATCATTTGAGTTTGATCCTCACTAGGTGCCACGCACTTTCGACTACATGCCACATCTAAGCTACAGATAAAAAAAAAACATTTGAGTTTGATCCTCACTGTGTGCCACATACTTTCGACCTTGTGATACATCTATGCTACGGTTAAAAATAATTTGAGTTTGATCCTCACAGGGTGCCACATACACTCGACCTTGTGACACATCTAAGTTACGATTAAAAATCATTTGAGTTTGATCCTCACTGGGTGCCACCTACTGTCGACCTTGTGCCACATCTAAGCTACGATTAAAAATCATTTCAGTTTGATTCTCACTGGGTGCCACATACTTTCGACTATATGTCACATCTAACCTACACTTCGAAAATCTCCTCAGTTTGTTTTTGTCCCCTTGTTCCTGTCGGCCGGGTCAGACTTTGTTTTTTTTTCCCCATTCCATTGTTTAAATTTTCATTCGCCAATCCATTCGTGAAGGTGTTGCTTGATTCTTTCAAACGGCAAGAATGGTTTCTCTCCTTATTTTGACGTTGGACGGGTCTTACTTACATTTTTTTTGTTTTTAGTTTGAAAATTATGTTATATTTTTATTTTCGTTTTCTGCGTTTATACCCTCCCCTATCATTTCAAACATCAAGAATATTATTATATATTTTATTATGAACTGTACAACATTTTACATCATGGAGTGTTTTGTATTCCCCACTCCCTGTGAATATGTGGTACTGTGGTACGTTTAGGAATGAGAGTTGAGGGACAAGTTCTTGTGGTGGTAGAACATATTGTATTGAATGAATGGGACGTGATTGTGATTGCCTAGGACTAGGAGAGTTACTAAGTACCAGCCATTTCCCACTTCCCAATCGGCCTTCTGTCACAATTTGTATTATTACAAATAATAAATATACTATATACTAAGATGATGTAATGTAACTATTTTCACTATTTACATTGTCCGGACTGTTGTCCTCCTCTTTATTGTCATATTCACAACGTTTCGGCCGTTGTAGACTCCGGCGTTCTTCACGTGATATACGTTGGGGTATCGAACTTAACATGTTATTTAATTCATGACGGTAGATTTGACTAGTTCCACATGCCACGCCATTTCTGGATATTTTAGTTTTTAGTTAACTCTATTAAGTAACTCACCTCTCTAAGTTTTGTTTTGTTCACTTCTGCTGTAGCCAGGTATTGGACTCCCAACTCTTTGGGTCAAGTCAGTTTCAGCTTACTTCAACCAATGCTTTTATGCCGTTTGGAAGGTCAAACTCATCTCGTTCCCACCCTTTCACTGTCGAAAGAGTTAAATATAACAGTCACTTCTACTCCAACAGCTTCTTCTCTCGCATTTGTAATTAAAAATTAGCAACATTCATGTGATTTTTACATCATGGGGGGTTATGTAGGTTGCTCTTGTGAATATGCGGTATTGTGGTAATATGTAGGACTCAATGGTGTTCGATGAGTCCTTGTGGTAAATGGATCAAATTTATTAGATAAATGTATTGTAATCGGGATTAACTAGGACTAGGATAATTAGCGAAGACCAGGCTTTCGCCATTGACCCCTTGGTCATGTGCCACATTTATTGAATTTATACAATAATACATATATTCGCTCGCACTTCCCGCCAGTGAATCTCCCTTCCTCTTACCTGCTTCTCTGATAGCTATAATCTTCAAATATTAAAATTTAATATTAATCAATATCTCCTAATGCCTTAATCCTGATCCCTGTCCTTCTCTATATCCTTTCATCAAACACCCCTCTTTACTCTTGTTCTCACTCTCTGTAACCCCTTGCATGTTAGAGGCGCTCCCACAAAAAATCGGATAGATATCTATCTTACTGTAAAAGGAACATAGATTTGACATTGCCACTCTTGTGTAAACAGTACTATGGTCTATGATTTTTGATTGTCGTGTTAAATAATTTGGTTTCTATTATTGCCATTTATTATAAGGATATCAATAAGTTAAGTAATTAATGACGAACGATATACTCCGACATCAAATGTAATATATATATATATATATATATATATATATATATATATATATATATATATATATATATATAGACTCTCCTGTCGGTTTCGACGTATGAGGATCTGACAGCTTATTGATTCAGTTATGAAATTGTTTATTTTAAATGACATTTAAGACCCGCTAGTGATTTACAAAGGAGGCCACATATGGAGCAAGCGTGAGGGTTGTGAGATGAGATCACTGTTAGATTGGCTGAACTTTTATTTCATTCATACATGTTTCATTAAATAATATAGACAAGTGTTGTCTATTTATTTTATGTAAATTCTTTTCATATATTCTGATAAGCTTAATAACATTATCATTAAGAAAGAAAATAACAATAGTGATACCTATTTGTTTAGCCTATCAAAGCTTTCGGCTTACATAAGCCACTATCAAAGATTACAATTACATTATAATATATTAAGCAATACACGGACAAAACAGTGATGATAGTCTGTTTCTCTTCACGGGGAAGATTTCCAAACAACGACAACCTCCTGCATATAAGACGCTGGAAGCGAAAATCTCACCGCAGCTCATGACCACGCGAGAGTGAAAACGAGAAGTATTATGTATGGGAAACCGATGTGGAGGTTTCATAGATAGATAGATAGATAGATAGATAGATAGATAGATAGATATGTGTGTGTGCGCGTGTGTGTCTGTGTTTGTGTGTGTCTGTGTTTGTGTGTGTACTGTCAGTGGTAGTACGTTGCAGGGAAGCGATCGCCGACGGTTTACTCAGGTGAATCGGAATATGGAAATGTACTGGTCCAAGTCCTACAACTAAATCCCACACATAGCTCGAAGAACTCGCATGTGCATTGCAAAGTCCACACGCCATTCAATGGCATCGCCCTGATGGATGATCTGTGTGAGGGTTGTCGGGAGGGTTTCGCGACTCGACCGATAAAAGACAACGCCTCTTCTCAAACCACCAGTTCCAAGAAGCTAGCGACCAGTTGCCAGCCTAGGCGTCGGAAATCATATTTGGGGTATTTTTCCCTGCATTCGATTTATTTTCTCTGGCCTTAATAAAATGTATTAATGGCTCTTTACACCCTACTTTAGATTTGCACGAAGTAATGGCTGTCTTGACTACATTTGCCAAGGTTCTAAAGACAACCGCTTAAAGCCTTGGGGGCAGCTATTTAAGATGTATTAAAAAAAAAAACCCTTTCACATAGAACGCAATTCAGCGTCTTATTCATACCCAATATATTTAGATTTGCTGGACTTGGGAGAAAATTGTAGACTGGTTTTTACCTAAAGTAGAATTGTATTCTACTAAACTCAGCTCGCCAGCAATGTGACCATCTTATCTTCCGCTGTTCAATTCCTTCGTATTTTATCCATGCTCTTTGTTTGCAAAGCTTGGCCATTCTAGAGTAAGGGTTTTCCTAGGCGTCTGCTCTGAATTCATTTTGTAAAAATTGGCGTCTTTCTTTATCTTAGGCTTTATCATCTCGTCTATAGGGAAAGTAGCCCACTCCTGTCTTCCAGTGTGTCGTAATTCCTATTTTTTCTAGTTCTTCAATGGTGCTGCATATCCACCCTGTCCGAGTCGCTATGCCTTCTCCTCCAAATTTAAGGTATTGGTAGACCTCCCTAGTCCGGCTTACGGGGAACTCCTCTGCGAAGCTGCTTAGTGGTAGCCTTAGCGCATTACTGCTTAAGATTTTAGGTAACCCATGCCATCTTCTCAAGCGAGTTGTTAATTTCCTCTCCAAAGCTTCCATCGTCGTGAGCAGGATTTCATATAGCTGCCGCCGCCATAATAAACCGTGTAATAATGAGTGATGGAATACACACGCTTTAAATCGACTTGTTAGGTCTGTTTTATCAATACTTAATAATGCTGTGGCTAGGTCATCAGTAGTCTGGCGCATAGGGGCGCTATCTCGCAGACTGCTATTGAATGTCTTGCCTAAATAATTGATTGGATTCTCTGAGTTGAGTTGCGATATTTATTCCCGCGATAGTAAATCTGTATTTGTCGGTGAGCTGACCTTTTGTAATCACCAATGACCTTGATGTAACTGGCTTGAATTTCTTCCTTGCCCAGTTCATGTTCCTTTCAAGGACCACCTGTTATCTTCATCATTATCATCATCATTATTATTATTATAACAATTATTATTAAAGTTGTTGTTGTTTCCATTTCTCCACGTTTCTGCTTCTGGTTGATAGTAAAAATCTTAAGTTCAGTTCAAAACTCGTGAGTTAAGAAAATAAACCGATTATGTCGACTTTTAACGAACAGTTTGTATCCATTTAATTTTCGAAGTAATCTGGCTGTTCCGAGCAGATATTTTCTAATGTCCAAATCGCAATCCGATATCTGTAATATTGCATTCATATTTTTGTAAAATATTACAGTCTTCCAATTATTACCCAATAATTCTTCTTCGTATTATATTATTATTTCCTTTGATTTCTTGCGTTTACACATTTATTTCCGGGTCCCACCCAGGGACCTAAGGTTAGAAATGGCATCATGACACTTTCCAATGACAAAAAAAAAAATACATAGATAAAGCCCTTTGTAAAGTGTGGGCTGTACTTGTCAGAATAATATTTTTTATATCTTTGAGGCATGGACTTCCAGGAATCTATTCAATTAATCTACTGGAATATTTTGCAAACAATCCTAGGGCTCCAACTACCACAGAGATTATTGATGTTCCCATGTGCCACATTTTTGAGATTTCTATTTCAAGGTCCTTGTATTTTGATAGCTTTTTGAATATCTTCAAAGCTACATTGCAGTCTGCAGAGACTGCCATATCAATAAGGAGGCACTTTTTGTTTGTGGTCTTTAATAACCATGTCTGGGCGGTTGGCTTTGATTGTTCTGTCAGTGTGTATTGTGTAGTCCCATAGAACTGTAACAAGTCCTATCTCCTTAACCGGGTCTGGGTGGTGTTCATACCAGTTTCTTTCAGTTTCCTTCCCGTAGAAGTTGCAAATTTTCCAGTGCAGATATTGGCCCACTCTGTCATGCCGGGTTTTATATCCAGCGGATGCCAATATCGTGCAACCTGATACAAGATGATCAATTTTTTTCTGGATATTTATCACAGAATCTGCATTTTGGGCTAACACAATATTTTAGTATATGTGCTTGATAATTCCTAGTTAACAATGATTGGTCCTGTGCAGCAAGGATATAGCTTCAGTTTCCGCTTTCAACCCTGCGCTACGTAGCCACTGATGGGTACGGGTTTTGTCTACGTCCGCTTGTTTGGTACGGGCATTGGCCATGAAGCGGTTTATCTTGCCATCGCTTCTGTATCTGGTCGGTTGCATTCGTCTTTGGTTTCTTTTTTAAGTTTTTTTAAGCTTCAGCCGGAGTGCTGTGCTTTACTTGTATTTCTGCGCTCATTTGAAACTCCATTTTGAATTTGTTATTTGAAACTTCATTTTGAATTATTATTATTATTATTAGATAGTTTTGCAATAGTGACTTCGCCCGGTCTTCTCTCCAAACATTTTCATGTCAACTTGTCTGATGAGATTTTTCAGCAGCTTCTTCGACTACATGAATTTAAGCGTGCTACCAGATTGGAAACTGGGTTTCACTGTTGAACTAACAAGGTGAAACTGCCACTTCCATTCAAACTATTTCTTTTCACGCTCATCCTTCCTCCCAAAATTGTGAGGTCAAGCAGTGTGTACTTGGATTCAGTGGAGTAATAACTAAATAAGAACTAGACGATATATCCTTAGTGGAAAGAGTTATATAAAGTGTTCAGCTCATAATTTCTTTGCTGATGATGGCTGAAGGACACTGACAGAAACGTCGTGACATTAAAAACAAACAACAATACTCTGAATATAAACAGTGTAAATAATGATAACTAATAATCCCAGAAATTCAGACAGAATAAATATAGAAGATATACTGTTTAAAAGCAAAAATCGAGCGATAGATTTTCTTACAGTTTGAATTTTCGTTAAATGCAAAATATATTTTTGAATATTTTTTACAATAATGCTATAATGATAAATTTTTATACAATAATGATATACCGATAATTTTTTATGCAATAATCATATACTGATAATATTTTATACAATAATGATATGCTGATAAATTTCCTACTAATTAACCCATAGTTGGGAAGATGAGGTGTATTCATACGTTCCCAATGATATTTATTCGTAAGTGAATATAAAGAACCCGACATGAATTCGAAGTCATAACTGCGATGTTCAATTCTGAGCCGTTATCAAATACACCATCCGCACATCCAAACTTACCGTTCCCAAGCGGTCATCTATAAACGTACTGTCCTCGACATTGTTTAGCTTTGACGTTTGGATATAACCAATGTTTTAAACTCATATAGACGTAAGCAAAGAAAGAAAGAAAGAAAGAAAGAAAGAGAGACTGTTGTACTCCTGGATATTGACAGACAGAGAGATATCTGCAAAAAGAGGTATAAAGAAAGAAAGAAAGAACGAAAGAAAGAAAGAAAGAAAGAACGAACGAAAGAAAGAAAGTGGGATATATTATTACGAACTGACTCAGATAGACACGTAGAAAGATATATGTGATTATTTGTGACAAGGATGCTCTTGATATAAATATAGTAAGCAGATTAAATGATCATAGAACCATAATCCCAACCCTGGAGAGAAAGGGAAAATGGCCTTAATGATAGCCACCGGATTGAAAGGCCAAGTGTTACGGTGGATAACGATAAAGTCAAACAGAGTGATGTTCTCATTACGACTGACAGAAGAATCGCTTTATCAAACTCACAGTGAAGGCCTTCAGATGAGCCATGTTAAGCCTTCAGTTTAATCCAAACTTTAGTCCGTTCAAGAGTTTTTGCAATTTGTGTTTAGCCATTACTCCAGCCGCTCATCCAAGCTTAGGGCATCTGGTATTCTCCAAGCAGTAACCCATCTAGGTACTCACCAGGCTCGCCGTTGCTTAACTTCAGTGGACGTACGAGAACCAGTGTTTGAATTTGTTGTGGCCGTAAGCCATTTAAAAAGCAGAGAGGCAGAAGAGAGAGAGAGGAACGCGAACAACAAAAAAGCAGATAAGAAAAAAAAGAAAAAGATATGAGAAAGAAGAAGAATAAAGAGAAAAGAAGAAGAAAGAGAAAAGAAGACAAAAACAGAAAAAAGAAAAAGGAAGGAAAATAATAAAAAAAGAAAAGAAAAGGAGAAGAAAAAGAAAAGAAGAAGAAAAAGAAAAGGAGAAGAAAACGAAAAGGAGAAGAAAACGAAAAGAGACAGAAAAAGTAAAGAGAAAACAAAAAGAAAGAAAATAGGAAAAAAAGATATGAGAAAGAAGAAAAGATAAAATAAGACAAAAAGAAGAAAGAAGAAAAAGGAAGTAAAATAATAAAAAAAGAAAAGAAAAAAGAAAAGGAGAAGAAAACGAAAAGAGACAGAAAAAGTAAAGAGAAAAAAAGAAGGAAAATAGGAGAAAAAAGATATGAGAAAGAAAAGTAGATAAAAAAAAGACAAAAAGAAGAAAGAAGAAAAAGGAGGAAAAATAAGAAAAAAAGATGAAAAAAGAAAAGAGGAAGGGAGAAGAAAGACGAAAAGAGTAAAAACAAAAACAAAAATGATATGAGAAAAAAGAAGAAAAACAGAGAAAGAAGAGGAATAAAAAAAGAAAAACAGAAGAAAAGAATAAAAGAAAGAAAACTGGATATATAGTAAAGAAATCACCCTCAAAGAAATATCCACTCAATAAAATGGAGGAAATCGAATGAATTTAACTACCTGGTAAAGAAGATTCATTATAGGCAGCAGCAATCATGACAGTATTAGAAATGCACATGACACAATGTTGATAGCAGAAACAGAAAGAAAAATAGAGGGATTTCCACAGAACGTAGTTAAGAAAATAGACAAGAAATTCCAGACATAATATGTAAATAAAGACAGTAAATATAGTTTTTACCAAAAGTAACGGCCCAAGAAACGAACAGAGAAATACTCACACTAAAATCAAAAATTAAAATTTCAAATACTAGGTAAAGTTTTAATAAACGACTGAAAATGCAACACCAAAATCCAAAGACGCTTAGCAATAGTGAAAGATGTTATTCAAAAGCTTAGCAGAGTATTAAGAAGCAGGAAAGTTTCGTTAGGGGCAAAGAAATGAGACCTGAACAGTCATGTAAAATCTATCCATTTATACTGTGGTGAATGCTGGACAATTGCTTCACAGATGAAAAGGGGAGTTGTGGCAAAGGAAACGTGGTTCTACGGAATAATGCTGAGAAAACTGTGAATGGAACAATGACGAAACTTTCGGGAAAGTTAAAACAAAAGAAATTTATATGTAGTATGAAAAATAGATAAGTGTATTTGCCAGAAAAAAGGTAATGGTATAATAATAAGAAATAAATAATAAAAGAAAGTATTGTATGCAAGAGGAACAGAGGCAAACAGAAAATAACTACATTACGAGCTCATTCAAATGGATGACAGAAGAGGGCTTAAGAGAAATAAGCAAATATCTATATTATTACCATCCAGGCTATGACGATCAACTACATCAGCATCCTCAGTAAGACGATAAACTACGTCCGACAGCAAGGCCTCTGATCAGGAGGCTTTGACGAGCGTGGAACCACATCTTAATTGCTGGTGTTCCCAGGTCCATTCTTACCCGGGTGGTAGCAACGTGCTAGGTTCCCAAATATGGGCTAATATTTAACCCAAAACCTGAAGTCAAAACACTATGAAACTGTAAAAGAAAGGTTTTAATACCAACAACACATTTTTGAAGAAAATGAACATTACCTGAGATACATTTTTGAAAGAAAAAAATATTACCAGCAATATATTTTTGAAGAAAAAATATTGCAATCAATAACATTTCTTCTCGTCATTAAATAACAGATTGAGGTTGATATGTCATAAAACAAATCCAAATTTATTAAATGCTACAAATGACAAGAAATTGTGGAGCGCCACGACGGACTATGTCCTGAAGGACACCGAACAGTGAAGAAGTATTATAATAATAATAATAATAATAATAATAATAATAATAATAATGAGAAGAAGAAGAAGAAGAAGAATAGAAGAAGAGGAAGAAGAAAAGAAAATGCATCAATTCTTCCTTCGTTCTCTTTTATTTCCATCACATCCCAATAAATATAGAAAAGGCCAATTGAAAGTCAGGACGGACACGAAGAGAGGCTTCAATTGACTGGCGATAATTTAATTCAGAGAAAATCGATATTGGAAAATCGATCAACATTTATCCATTGGCTACTGAAGAATCATGAACTATTGTCTATTGTCAACCCGAGGAGACGACTCAAAATGACTTAGTTGAACGCAGGGTTAGTTAGTTAGATAGATAGATAGATAGATAGATAGATAGATAGATAGATAGATAGATAACATCGTCTACCAACAAGAAATAGCACTCACTATATTTTGTTTTTGTTTGTTTTGTTTTTTTTTTGTCAAAAAAGAAACAATTGGAATTGAAATGAAAGTAGTGATGGCTTTTAAAATACAATTCAAAGATCAATATAATTCATTTGAGAATTATCTTCAATTAGATAATTAGCGTGTGAATCACGTTTTATAGAATCCCTAAATAGGATAGACGTTAGTATTGTTTATATGTTGATTTTTTGGATTATTAGAATTAATAAGGTCGCATAGTTATATATGTATCAATATGGGGATTTTCTTTAATGATAATATGATTAAGTTTATATGAAAAGAATTTATATAAAATAAAAAAATAAAACTTGTCAATAATATTTAATGAAACACACACACACAAACACACACACATATATATATATGTGTGTGTGTGTGTAAATAAATATATATATATATATATATATATATATATATATATATATAATTGTAGCAACGTTTCTTTCCAGTATCTTTCATTATATATATATTTACATGGAAAATGTAATTCATTCTTTGTTAATTTTTCAACATCGTTACAGCGTTCCGTTTTGTAAGATTAAGTATTACAAAATATTACACAAATTCTATTATCACAAACGTTTTCGGACACTTCTATAGCCATATTCAAGGAAAAATTTTATATATATATATATATATATATATATATATATATATCGTGCCATTTCATTCTTTTTCTTTTCTTCCTTTTGATGATGCCGATTATAGATTTTTTTCATTTTATCACAGTCTATACATTGCTCTACCTGACGAGCTCATTGTTCATTTCTATACTGGCTGTATATTATGGTTATGTCTCATCATATTACTTGACGGTTCTTAGCTCAGAATAGGTGTGACTATAACAACACGGGTGAAGAGAAAAAAAGAAACAGAAGAGAATATATGGAATAATGTTATTTATGCTTCACGCAGACAAATAAATGATCTTAACAGAAGTAATAGAATTGAAATATTTAAAGACATGAGTCGTGATTTCGGGTGTGTTATTTACAAAAAAATATATTTTATAATCAAATATATGAAAATGAAGCAAAGTTTATGGGAATCAACAAAAATAAAACAAATAGAAAATCAAAATATACAAAGCGAAGAGTTTGAAAAAAAATGTAAAATTATTTAATGAGAAAAACAAATAACAAAGATAATAGAATTATGGAAAACAGATCAAAATAAACAAGCCAACAACATTATCGTTGATGACAATGATAAAATTAGTTGTTGCATTATAAACATTTCCCATAACTCCTTGGCTGTCTTTAATGAAAGTGTGACATCTTTTTCGGCATTTGTTATAGCAATGTTGTTGTTAGTTATTTCATTATAAAGAAATATTCAGCATTTATTAAACTAGCAGCCAGCCCTTCTCATGGTGTTCTTTTCCTCACATTTAGGAACTTGAAAAATTAGTACAACGAACTTTCAAATAAGCGTTTGGGATATTTTTCAAAGAAAGAAAAATGATTTACTCTCAACAGTAAAAATTTTTGCCACTCTACAACTGTTAACGAGAAAGCCTTATTTGTTGTTCATGATGACGGTCGTCTTTGAGTATAGAATCCAGAGGTTAGCAGTTAATATTTTCGAAGACAGTAGGGAAGCGTAGTTCAAGTTAGCAGTGGATATTTCGATAAAAGTAGCAGAGCATAGTTCGTCCTTCTGGTTCTCTTCGCCTGACAAGCTGGACTGGACATTCGGGTAGAGTGAACAAAAATGGCAGCCTTTATACACGACGGATTGAATATTCTACGTCTTCTGATTGGTTAACCTTCTATTGGTGGACTATGAAATTAGTCAAGTCATTTGGACTGGCTCAGTAGTACATAACATACACAAAACCTGCAACATTATTATCATCAGTTCCTACTGTATATCGTATAGCAAAAGAGAGACGTCTTCACACAACAGCTGAGCAAGATCTGTCAGTGACAATGGCAATATTACGCAGAATTTCTTCAACTGAAATTCATTTAGAAGAAATGTTTATACAGCTCATGTAATGCTATTATGCAACTCTGTTTTTTAGTGATAACATAAAAATAATGTCAATAAAGCTCTACAAATTGTACAACACATACTATATGAATATATAGATTTCTGAACCAAGTTTAGAAAATCTAGGAATTTTATTATTGATTTAAACTGAAAAAAATAATAAAACTTAACGCTATTATGCATCTTACTCATTTTGAGTTTAGAAATTGTTTTTAGGTATCAATGATAAGGATAAATAATAAAATTATCATCGTTTATAATTCTTTAATATTACATAAATATAATCTGCCCAGCAATCTTTCCGTTCATATCCCTATGCGAAATCTTTCGGTAGGCAATATTTTTATCAATATTTTGTCTATTGAAGAAGTCAAATTTTAAATTGTAGATGAAGTTATATTGGAGATCACAATCGTTATTTGTTGTTTCAGTTATTTTTGTTGTATTGCTTTCCTTCTTTGTATAGCTTCTATTTGGCAATTCTCTAATTTTCTCAATGCAGGTGAAATCTGAATATTGAGGCGGACATTCCATTATTCTCTTGCCTTTGAACACTTTCCGCTCTAGAAATGTCTTTGGTAACTCAGCTCCATACGATGGGGAATTGTCCTGCAGGGACATCATCTTGGATTTGAAACTTTCTAATTTTTATTGTACCAGGGTATGAAATTTGAGTTAAAAAAAATTGACGAATTTTTCGCTATTCATTTTCAGTCCATCTTCGACGAAGAAGAATCCAACGATGGTATCACCAATGATTGCTGATCAAAACATAACTCCTCCTCCACCTTGCTGCCGTCTCAAGCGGGTTGGGCATAAACCCTCCGGTGAAGGCGTCACGACCATCGAGAGTAGTCCAACATTTACCTGTAAATGAAACGGAGCTGAAATCACATTTCATGTAGGTATTTGTCCATGAAATTCATTCCTTGATGTTATCTTTTGATAATGGGTGGGGGGTCTTGATTGAATTTAAGAACTTTTTCCCGGTCATTCAAGATAATCTTTCTCGTAGCTCTGTTCGTTCCAGCTAAATCAGTTTTTTGAAATACATTCTTGCTAGATCCCAACGGATTTTTTCTTCAAAGCCCGAGTTATCAGATGGTTCTCTTGCTTCGTTATCTTCCCGTTACCAGTATCAGATCTTGTTTTCCCGGCACTGTTGATGCTCGAAATCACTTACTTGATCATCCGTAAATCCCTTTTAAGCAGCTTTGCTATCGTTTGTAGTAATCACATCGGCTAACGGATTTACAATTTACTTCTTTACTTAAATCTTTTATATCTTTTCAAAATATACGAAAATCAAAAATACAACGTTCAGAGCAACAGTTACCTGTCGTTGCGTAATATCTTTATCCACTAAAATCTTGCCTCAAATCGCAATGTCCACTATAGATTCAACTTGGGAGAGACAACTGTTAAACTGCGTATGTACCTAATGGTCAAATTGGTGGTTAATGAAAACTCTAATGAAAACTCCATATATAATGGACGTTTTAATGATTTGCATAATAGCGTTATCTGAGCTGTAGCAAGACTACAATCCGCCATAGCTTTCGTAATACAGATAATCAAACGGTACAATACTTTTAGTTTATGTTAGATACGAGAGGTAAAATGATATTTTGGAAAAGTTGCTAGATGTCTAAAATTGGCATCGTATACAACTAGTGAAGATGTATTTATTGCATTAGAATAGTGCCTTTTCAGATGGAGTAAATTCATCTTGAAATACTGTAAAAGGATTACACGCGATGGAGCAGCGGACATTACTGTAAAAATAGGGGTGTGATTAAAATAATTTTGGTTTCGGCTGGTAATAATGTAATTTAGAATCACTGTTTCATAACCCGACAAGCTCTGGTTCCACAGAGACTTTCGGAGAATATTAAAGAAGTATTTGAAAAAGCAGTTATGATTGTAAATTTTATCAAATGAGGCTCACTAAATATTAGAATATTTGAAATATTCTGTTCAGGGATTGTAACCCAATAGCCCATTTAATCTTTAAAAATGTAGTTCGTTGGCTATCATAAGGCAAGTTATTTATGAGGGTGTATAGATTAAGAAATGAACTTCATATGGTTTTCGTAGAAAGGAATAATCCTTTACACAACATTTTGAGGATAATATTTGGCTGACTTACTGATATGTTTTGGCTTGGCTGATGATTTAAATATGAAACTTTAATGTGAACTTCAACATGAAACATCTGCAATATATCTTATTTTATATCAATAATTGAGTTGAAGTTGTAAGCTGAAGAGGAAGCTTAATTACTGCATCTTAGTTGTTCCTGCAACTACTTACTGAAATATTTCCAAATAAACAGGCTCAACACTGCACCTGATGTGCGTATGGCATTGTCTTCCTATGTTCACAGTTGGAATCAGCTACGATTTGATTTTAATGAACAGTTGTCCTTGGTATGATGCAGGTCTCATATTTGTGGAATTAGCTGCAGTTGTCTTGAGATTCTGTTATACCAGAACATTACCTATTCTATTGCAATAGACTCTCCCACACATAACAAATAGTAGTAGTAGTAGCGGTCGCGAGTTTGGGCTCAGTGGTGTTGTGTGAGTCAGTCGATGTCGGACATTGAAGTCTCAACCATCACAACTAGATTGCTGCGTCATTAACTATTATTGTAAG